TGTAGGGATGGGCTGGAATGTGACGGAGCCTCTAGGAAAGACCTGAGCCTTTGTGCTTGTGCATGTGGTTCTGCTTGTCCAAAAGGCACTGCTGTCACACTGGCAGCTAGCCTGCCTGCTCCCTGCCTAGAAATCAGTTCCCCTGGGCTGCATGCCAATAGGAGGGCGTTCACACCTTTCCCATCCATGAGCCTTGGCTGTCTGCACTATTCCTGCCATCCAAAGGAGGTGCCAGGAGTAAAGAATCGGGCATACCTGGGTTCTACCCTGAGCTCTACTTCCCACTGGCCGTGTGACCTTGGCAAGTCCTTTACAGCTTTCCAAACTTCTCTTTTCACAGCTGCAAATGGACCAGCACCCACTCAGGGTGGTCATGAAGGTTGCAGAACCTGGCTCAGGAGTATGGTCAGGGAATGGGAGTCCTTGTTATCTGCTTCTCTTTTCAATTCCTTACCTGTCTCACTCCTGACCCTCCCAGTGTTGTTCTCTGTCACCCCCGGCTCCTCCATGGACATGAAGACAGGCCAGACTTCTTCCCTTTTGGTTGGCATCTTCCCTTTGGACCCTCACCTTGCTCTTTTGGGCTGCTCTCCTGGTCTCGCCTCCTCCTGGTAGCATCTCTGGGCCTCCTGCCTGACACTCCCACGCTGGCCACCCTGGCCTTTGGTGAGAGGGCATCAGATAGCTCCTGCTTTCCTGTCTGTGAACAAGAGCCAGCACTGGTCCTTAGCCACAAGGTACATGTCTAAATGTTGCTTTCTCTATTTGGTGTTCACAGTATTAAGAGAACTCCTGGCCTACTCAGAACTCTATATTTGAAACAGAAACAGCTTTTTCAAAACACCTCTGGTATTGGCCCATTTCTCTATTGCTGTTTCTTGTGGTTTCATATTGAGGTTTTTGTTGCATTGCATTTGACCTGGAGTTTATTTTTAGTAGTAAAGACCGAGTTCAATTAATGTCAAAACATGAAGGCAAATGCAGAGGAGGGATTTGTAAATGTAGGGGAAAATGTGCCTAATTTTATTGCTCTGATAGCATCTGTCACTGAGCATACACTATCCCACCTGCAGACGTGGCTTCCTCAGTGATGCTTGTGACGAGCTAGGCAGAAGCGGTGGGCAGTGGCCGGGCCACCCCTGAAAACAAAAGCACTGCCGAGTCTCTCTCGACCC